CACCTCCCTTGAGGTTTTTGACAATTACATTGGCCTCTCCTATTTTTTCCAAAAATTACACTGACCTCCCTTGAGGTTTATTTTTGATTTGCAGATTCCCCCTTTCCGTTAGTTGACTGTTAGTTTGACTAATTGTTCCCTATTTTTTTTTTTTTTTTTTTAAGTTAGTGATTAATTGTTAGATTATCACATGGGGGGTTTTAGTTTTATTTTCTATAACATTTGAAGTGATTATCTATAAATTAAAAATAAAATAAATCAATTAATTATTTTTTAGGCAAACAAATTAATATGAATTATTGAAGCCAAATGAAAAATACAAGAACTTGTATGTATGTAATGCAATAAATTATATATATATATATAGTTAAACCATGTGAGTATTTAAAAATATTATTTAATACTATTCAAATAAATACAAGTGGTGTCCCAATTTTATTTTTATTAATTTAGATAGTAAGACTCATGTCATCAAAATAAATAAATAAATGAAGAAGAAGATAGTAAGACTCATCAATTTTATCTTGTTTTTTTTAAGACAACTAAACTGTATAATGTCAAGTATTAATTAAAAACTACCAAATAACTTCTCTTATATTTATATAATTAATTTTTTAATTTGTTTCATCATCACTTTTGTCGTAACAATAGGTTATTCTAAAATACATACCATTTTTTATGTAACATGTGCAAGTTATAATATTTGTGGTGTTGATTACCGCAAATATTATAACTAATTTTTTTTCAGTCAAAAAAAAAAAAAAAAAAAAGACTCATAACCAAACACAACATAAGGTATAATCAAAATAATAATCGTACATTTAATGTTTATTAACAAAAATATCTCTAATGTTAAAATTACTAAACTAACCCTCCCATTAACACTGTTAATCACAGGGAAAGTCTGTGTAATTTTTGAAAAAGGAGAGATCAGTGTAATTGTCAAGAACCTCAATGGAGGTGACTATAATTTATCCTTATAAGTTATATATTTTATTTACGTATATTTAAGATAATTACGTAAAACAATTGATATTAAATTTTTTAATAATATTTATGCTACATTTGGATAATGATTACAAGGAAAACAAAATTAAATTAATTAAACTAAATGGTTATTTTTGTACTATTATCTAATTCATTTTTTTCATATTCTTAACCTAACCAGAACAAAATATAGTTTCTTTCACTCCATTTTCATTTTTTAATTTAACTAAGCATATAGCATTTTATGTTTTTTCATATTTCATTTTCATTTTTAATTTTTGTAAATTTTTTGGAATATGTGATATATATGTATCGAGTAACAATATTCATGTGGTCTAGTAAGTACAAAAAAGTAATTCAAAAAATTATCAAAAAATAAAGTGTATGGAGTATATGTGTGCTAAAATTTTACGACACAGCCAATATCTGATCTTCCTCCTAGAATTCTGGGAACACAGTTGTAGAACACGCAGCCTATATAGATCCACGTCTACACAATTAGAAGAATAACTCACTTGATTGCTTGTTAACCGAGAGGGCACTCCGATGATAAAGTCAGTAAATTAATATCCCAAGATATTTCGACAAATTAACGGTAACTCAAATTAACACACATAAACTCACGTACCTCTCACACATGGGGGTGCCTGTGTAAAGGTGTCCTCCTCCTAGAAGTAGTGATCAAGTCAAACACTTATTCCTTAAAGAAATAATACTAGATGATTCATCTCTTCTAGTTGGGTTACGGTTAACCTCTCAAAAGAGTCCTAAATACACCCAACCTAGGAGTCATTCATTCACTAGGATTTTTGTGTTTCACCAAATACCTCAGCCTAGACATAGATCATTTTCATACCTCATCCAATCACATTCCGCCATGTGGCACTTCAGGCCAAGGCCATGCCATATGGACATGTCAAAAATTATGTCCCCACACCTGGCTCCTAGATACTATCACCTCAAGAACCATAACCACAACTAAGGCTATTGAAGACAAAGCTGCAATGACAACTATAACACACCTATAAAACTATTATAAGGATGTAGGATAGCAGTACACAATCCTCTCCTCTATAACAAACTTACTTAGAATCTAGAACTAATCTAGAGATACTTTGTTTTGTTTCCATGTATACATTGATCAAAGACTTCTATGTGTAGTTGAGTTCATAATGAAATAATAGAAAATATCTTTTTGTTCTCTCTCTCTCTCTCTCTCTCTCTCTCCCTATTTTCTTCATGGTATCAGAGTGAATTAAAGCAAGAGGAACATTGGAATTAGTATTAGTCAATACAAAAGGATGTTTGTGACTCTTTGAGACACAACAATGACTGCAGAAAGAAGAACAGTCTTTATGAAAAATGGAAAAACCACAAGTTTTAGCTATATGATGAAAAACATCTGAAGAAGAATGCCCTAGTCTCTTACGCCAAGTGGCAGCTGGAGATCTAATACTAGGAAAAAACCTTTAAACAATGATCAAAATGAGAGGGAAGGAAACTGATAGAGACCATTCTGATGATGACCACTACATAGACCTTGGTTGATGGGTTTGTCCTAAATAACAAATGATTTATCAACAAATGTAATGGTGCAAGCATTATCTGATGTGAGTTGATGAACATAAAGCAAAATAGATGTCATTTGTGGAGCATGCCACACATTATTAAGTTTGAATTTGAAGGAGGGAGTAGATAATATTGTTGTTTCTTCTCCTAGTCATGTTTCTGCTTCTCCTAATCCTAGTCCTCTTGCTAACGATCATGTCCTCTTCTTCCTCTGTTCCTTTTTCTTTCTCTCCACCTGGTATCAGTCTTACTATTCCTATTTTACCTCCTCCTTTGCCTCTTAATTCTCATACAATGATATAACTAGAGCTAAAGAAGTTGCTCCTACCTCTTCTTTGTGTCTAACAGCTTCTTTACTTCCCAAGATGCAATTGCAATTTGAATTGCACTGTTTTGGTTCTACCTGTATTCCTTTTATTCAGAATAAGTATGTTTTGATACATGTTAAAAAACATATAAGAAAAAACAGAAGTTTGAATTTTTAAGATGCTATCGAAATGTACCATAGGGTCATCATTTGATCAATGACGCGGCCAGGTCCATATTCTTGGGTAGGCTGGCAAAGCCCAAAAAGGGCTTGGCTTGGGACCAGGTCTAGGTCTAGGTGTTGTAGATTAACTAGTTAGCCCTTGAGAGGTGATCAATCAGCCCATTGGCTCGACTAGGAAATTTTTTTTTATTTTTTTTTTTAAAAAAAAGATTGTTAGGGTTAGGCACCTCACTAGCTCTTCAGGGCTTGGGCCTAAAATTTTTGGCTTTGGCATGGTGTGGCCCACTAGAAAAAAACCTGTTGAGCTTAGCCACAAAAGAGCTTGGGCACCAATTTCACGAGTTGAGCTAGCCTTGCCTGAGTGTACACAATGCAAATTGTCAAGAAATGACCTACCATCTTCAGAACTAATCAATAATTTTCCTCCTATGATGGATATACTGATTTGAATATATCAAGTGAGCATAGGGCTGGGATAACTGTGGTCAAACGAAGTTGATGTTTAAACAACTTATTGAATCTCTTCTTCTAATGCATTTGCTAAAATATAATATTCGGAAAAAAATGAGTAGTACCCCATTATCAATTTTGTGTTGGCTATTTGTATTAAGAACAATACCTTTTTTATTTTCTCCTATAATTTAGTAAAATTTCAAAATTATTTCCATTTTTTGGAAACAAAAATGAGACACCAAACAAGTTTTTGTTTCCCTTTTTCAAAATATTTTTAAAACATAAACAAAATATTAAAACATAAACATTACCAAATGGGAGTTTAAGAGCTCGACCTTGAGAAAAACCGAGAAAGAGTGGGAGGGTATGTTGATCCTTGGCTTGTTACCCAATCTTTGTTGAGAAGTGTTCATCGGATAAGTATTGAATATTTACCACTCGACCGTAGATCCAACTATTGATACATAGTTCTCTGTATATTGGTTGTATTTTTTCTAATCATTGCACAACGGCAATGACTATGGACATATGCCTAATTTTGGGATGAACCACTTTCAATCTTGTGTTCTTGTGTGTACGTATAATTTATAATTCCTATTTTGTTCCTTTCTATTTTTGCGTCTCACTCATCCTAATTAGGTATTCCGCATGGGCAACAACATGCCAAAGATCTTGATCTAACTAGTGGAAAACTTTGGACTAACCTGTGAGCTACTGCATTGAAACATCTTATAATGCTACGTCTATTGTGATGTTTCTATTTTTTGTCATGTTCTTTTTCTTTTTCTTTTCTGAACCTTTTTTTTTTCTTTTAAGATTTCACACAGGAAGATTAATGAGGAATGCAACTTCGCAGTGAATTTTAATTTCTTCAAGTGGAATTTCATTGTTTTTGGTAGTACTTGTATATCCTTTGGCTGAAAATGTAAAACCAGTTTGATAACATGTTTAAGGATGAAGATTGTCTTGCTATGGCTTCCCTCCCTTGTTCTAAATCAAACAGAACTGGTGTTTCCAAAGGTGCTATCAGAGAAAATGTACCAAATAGAGATTGAATGTTTGATTGTGCCAGAAATTGCTAGAGAAAATGTACCAATTAGAGACTGAGTGTTTGATTGTGCCAGAAATTGTTAGTTAAGTGTGCTTGTTATGTAATATAACTATTTTTGAGTGCTGTTATGTAATATATAACTACTGAATTCACCCAAAAAAATACATAACTACTGTTTGTGAGGAAATTGTTGGAGTATTATTCTGTCTTGTTTACTGTCAAAATATACAAATGGAGTAGAGTTTGTGACTCTAAATTTACCTGGTTTAAGCAGATTTAGGTGTTTGGTATGGCCGGCCAGCCACTTCAACTGGGAGGAACAGAGCATTTGAGTTAACAATATATCTTTTATTTTTCATAGAGGTTGCATGCATGATACATCACTTATTCACCATGCATTAATAGTTTTGAGTGGTGGAGATATACAGAAGAAAAATCGTACAATTTTTTTGTATAAAGTGATGTGGCATATTGTGGTCTCTTGATTTAAAAACAGAATTTTCATCATTGTGATCTTGATTTACAAATGAATAATGTTATTCAACTTGGATTACATTGATCTTAAAAACTACTAAACACATATTAGAAGGTTCTTTATATTCATTCAACAAGGGATATATAAAGTGTGATGGCCATTCCAGATATCAGTGAGGTTAATTGGAGTACAGTACTTTTTATTGCTAAGCTATTGCCGTTATTCATTTCTGCTAGCACTTTGGCAACTGTAATGTACACGAACCCCCCTGTCGTGAATCCCTAGAAACAAAAACAAAAATAAAAACAACATAAACATATTGGGATTATTACTAATGCATATGATTCCCTCCACGTCAAAATGAGCTTGCTCAAATCATTTCTTGAAGATTTTTTTACCTCAATCAAAGATGATTGTCCTTGATCTTGGCCCATGACAAAAGCCTGTGCGACAATAATAGTAAAACATGATTATTAATTCTTCAATTATTTTGGAATTAAAAAATAAAATAAACAAAATATGATTCAACTTGCCATACTGAAACGATACTAGACAATGTTGTTCTTGCTAGTGCCACCAATGCTGACAAGAAATTGAAAAAGAGAGCTTCCGAGACACTGAAACTGGATCTTACCAACTAAGAAGCACAAATACGGATACAAATACAGACACAGACATGGATGCGGACATGGGACAAAATGAGTTAAAAAAAATGAGAACACGGAAGGCAGGGACACGAAAATAAAATTTGTTTTCATATATATATATAGATATTTTCTATCTAGATTTATATTACATCCACAAACAATCAATATTAACAAAAACTAACTCTAATTTTATTTTTATTTTTATTTTTTTTAAAAGTACTTTTAAATTAACACTTACAGTTTATATCTTTTTTTATGGATGATCTATTAAGTATTTAAATCTAAGAAAAAAATAATAAATATTCAACATTCATAAAAAGCACTAAATAAAATGGGAAAAAAGACAAATTGACATGTCCCTTATGTGTTTCCAAAGTGTCCTCAGCGTGTCCTCTGAAATAAATTAATTAAGGGAACATGCCATGTGGTATGTCCCATACCCGACATGTCCGTGTGTCCGACATGGATACGGCACTTGTTTTGCGGTGTTGGTGCTTCATAGCTTACCAAGATTCCTAAATCACCTATTTGCACAGGAGGGTTTAACAAAAGATATAGCACTAAAGGAAAGTTTGATTACATTTATAATTAAAAAATGAAAAGTTTTTAAGGATGAAATACAAGATTTAGTGTTGCCCAAAGTACGATTATATTCTAATGTGGCGTTCATAACGACAAAATATAACTACGCCATCATGGCAAATCCTTAATGACGCACAACAAAAATATGTCAACAAAATTTAGATAAAATATTTCCTTTAAGATAAATTATGTTAACATGTGGACTAATAATATGAAGTGTCTAATATCATGCTAATCACACTATGAATGTCCTTCTGGGTAAAGATCATGAACTACACACGTGTACCAAGTCCAATTCATTTTGCACTTTTGATGTATACATAAAAATAATGGAAAATTGCACCAATAGTCCTTATACTTTACCCCTTGTGTCATTTTGGTCATGTAATTTCAATTCGCTTGATTTTGTACCTTACTTTCAAGTTTTTTGTCAGTTAAGTCCAATTGAAAATGGCCCGTACAATTTCACTGAAATTTCACATGTGAACAACACACATCATGTTTTCAAGGGTAAAATAGTCTATTCGCCCATACCCCATCCAACTTTGTGAGTTACACTTCGGTGCCTCTAAATGCACCTAAAATTTGTGGTTGGACATCTCATTTCTTTGAGCATCCTAATTCTTGAATTCAAATTTTGTTCTTTTTCTTTGAGCACCCTAGTTAACACGAACTTTACCCCTATCCATCCCAACCCCTCCACACCACCACCACCACCGCCCCATCATCTCCGGCAACATCTCCCTGTCCCTCCCCACATTGTGCAGCGGCCTCCCCTTCCCTCCCTGCAGCCCGACACTAGCTCCCTTCCTTACCCGTCAAACTATACCCCTAAACCCCACCTCCCTTCTCAATTTCCTTCCCCACCAGCCATTATGACCACCGCCGCCAGATGCAATCTCCATAAATTTGGTTCGGTGGTCTGTCCTAACCACCACTATTTGTTTAGTGGTATATGTCTAAACCACCAAAAAATTTTTGGTGACGGTGCTCTACAATTTCAAATGAATGGGAAGGAAGCAAGGATAGGGAAGAGCTCTGGGGTGGTTGTGGCTGGCGGCAACGGCATCTAGGTGAGGAAAAAGGGATGGGGCGATCGCCGGAGTGGGGTGGAGAGGGGGCATGGAGCGTGGGGAGCGACTGGGGGATGGCGGGTGGAGTTGGAGAGGGTGGGAGAGGAGTTAGAAAGGGAGGGGACTCAGGTGGCTATCGGAGCTGCTAGTGGCACCCCAGCTAGCCAGGGTAGAAGATGGTTGTATGGTTTAAGGATTTTTATTAATTTCATTTAGGTATAATGATGTGCATTGTTACACTTAATTAACTTGAGCAAAACTAATATTATATATATAAAAAAAGAGTGAGAGAGGACGCAGTTGGTGGGCGTTAGGGAAGGCGAAGGGGAAGGGGGCTTTAAGCAATGGAGAAGGGGTGTTAAGGATGAATGCAACAAAGGAGGAGCACGGCGCAACAATGGCAACGAAGAGGTAGCAATCTATCCTTCTAGCAGAGGCAAAGGTCTTCAATGACAATGGCAAAGGCAATCTCAGTCGATCTCCTTCCTCTCCTCCCCCCCCTCTTTTCCTCTGAACCATTCACTTTATCTTCCCTCTTTTCTTTTTCATTGATTTGCGGTGGAGAGTAAAATTGAATTGACAAACGGAGTGGTTTGCAGAAAGGTGGGTTTGCTGTGGTTGAAAGGGGGTGATTTGGCAGATGAGGTGTTTCACAGTAATGGGGTAGTAGAGGGGGACTTTGCTGGTGGTTGGGAAGGTTGTTGATGGTGACTAATGGAGATGGCAGTGGAGAGGGTTGAGATTGTTAAATGATTATTTTATTATTATTATTATTGCTAGGCCATTGTTGGATGATGTTGATGAGGTGGGTTTCAGGCTGGTGAAGAAGGTTTGGGTGGCAAAAAGGGGGTTTTGGTGATGGTTGACAGAGTGATTGATGGTAGCTGATGGTAGTTGGTGGCAATGGCAGTGGAGGTGTTTCAGCGAAAGAGGGTTTGGATGGCAGAAGTGGTGGTTTGGCAGGGTGGAAGATGGTGGTGATTGCCTGTGCATGGTGTAGATAGCCGGTGTTGACGATGGAAGGTGGGGATGGTTTGTGCTGGGTTATTGGGAAGAAAGAAACAATCATTGTGGAGGGTAGAGAGAGAGATAGCTGAATGGACCATTATGTCCCTGAAAATTGGTCGTGTGCGGCACATGCAAAATTTTCATAAAAAATTGTAACGATTGTTTTTAATTGGACTTAATTGACACAATATTTAAAATTAAGGGACAAAATCGAGTTAATTGAAATTACAAAGACCAAAATAACCAAGGGTAAACAATCATATTTAACATAAGAAAAGAACCAAAAACAACGTTCATCTAATAAGTCTAATTAATTTTGCACTTCTACCCATAGTATATAATTATAGAAGATGCTGCGATACATAAGAGTCAATATCAAGCCTAGTAGAATATATGCAGTTAGTTATTGAGTAAAATAACCCATCAACTCACATTTTTTTATAGGGAACAAGACACTTTGCATGCTTGCATCCTTAAGCCAGGACAAGAGGGAAAGAATTTTAGCAGGGAAGACAATCTAGTGACAACACAAAATTACCGATATATATGCACTTATAATATGCAAATACAACGATGTACTGCATGAAGATCCATTCCGAATCTTCAGAATTAACTAGCTAAAGAACTTATTATTTGAAATAGATATCAATATAATGAAAAAAAATTAAATAGTCATTATTCTTTAGTAAAATTTCCATAGAAAATGAAGGAACAAGAGGAAGAAAAAAACCTCTTGAGGAAGCTCATGTGCAAGCAGAAACAGAGTTCTTGACTACCCACCAACTGATCCATGAAGGAGGAAAGCACTTCCCAAAGCCATCCCATCAGTAAAATTGTGCTGAAATGTTACACGTCACATTGAAATGCTTCAGTTTTCAGTCAAATACATCAATTAAAAACGAAAAAAAATCCCTATAGCATTGTAAAACCCTTGCATGTGTGTGTCCATTAAATCTATATTCATGGACAGTAACACCAATCATAAAGAAACAACATTACCATTGAAATTTAAATTAAAAAAATAATAATATAAATAAAAAAATTAAAAAAACATACTACACCATCGGAGAAGAGGTTAAGGTAACCAAACACAAGATTTGATGGAGAATGAGAAAGTTCTTTTTCAACCACGGATTTTATATGGTGAGTGGAGCCATTTGGAGCATCTGAAATGTTATCTTTTCCAGCACCACAGCTAGTTTTCCTCTGCAAAAGTGAGGATCAAACGTAAGTTTCAATAACAAACAAGTTGCAGTAATGATTTTAATAATAATAAATAAATAAAAGAGGGCATGCGCCAATGGGGTGTGAAGACAGTCCTAGCTTTATTGGAACCTTGAATCCAAGCATTTGATATTATTACCACTTTTCTTACCAAGTAAGCTAGTGGGCATTTTGAAGGCCCTGCCAATTTTCATGATAAAGCTTTGTTCGAATATAAGGAATCCCAACTATTCCCGAATACTTGAAAGGGTAAAAAATCCACAAGTCTAATGGAAAATGTTTGCATTTTGATAATATTGATACATTGTTATATCCTGGTCAAAAGAGAACCACCCTCGTGATTTGAATTACCCAACACATCAGAACGATATGACATCATGTTCCCATTCAGGTTCCTCAAACCAAAAAGGTAAGATTCGATAATGGATCATGTTTCCATGAAATAAGATACTTCATCAAATGTTATAGCATTTCAGTCAACAAAACATATTAGATATGAAATTGTTGTGCACTAGCAGAACAATCCCACTAGATATATACATTTGTTTCTCAATGTGTTATGTTTTTGATTTTCTTTGCCACAAAACTTTGTAACTTATCGAGGTCTGAATCATTATTTTTGATCTTGAACAAACAGAAAACTAAAATTAAGAATAAGAAAAGCAACAAACCATATTTCATTTCATGCTATTAGAATATTCTATCGCAAGGATATTAGGAACTGTTGAAAATTTTTTCTGAATGAATAAGAAACAATCTCTTTTGCATGTAAAAGATACAGATCAGAGATCGATATATGTCGCATTTGTTTGTATACATTTATGGCTAGAGACAACTCTTTCCAAAAAAACAACAACAATTCTAGTCTAGTCCAGCTGCTGCCTGACTATAATTCTAGGTCCACATATGAAGAAATGCCCCGAAACCAACCTAGTTCAAAGTTGATCATAACCTGCCAGGAAAAATCACAATCATCTTACCTTCCGAAGAGATTCAGGCTGATTTTTCTTTTCAGACCCTTTGTCTAAACCTTCCCTTGAGATGACATTTCTGATACACTTTCATTCTTTTCATTGAAAGACTGCTGCTGAATCTTGTCATCATCGTCATTGTCATCCTTCAACTTTTTACTGTTCTTATGATGATGATGGAGAAGGCCTAAGAAGCACGGACACGGACATGCCGACACGTTAATTTTCAAAAAATACAGAACACGACACGTGGGGAACATGCATGAAATACATGATTTTATATATTTACTATATGTTCTATATATGAATATATCATTCAAAGATAATAAAAAAAAACCCAATATGAAACTAATTCCTATAAATTTATATGGTTTTTGTTTTATTATTATATCTTAAGTTGTTTTGTTCAAACTTAAAATTAGTTTCACATGTGTCTAATCAATAGATATGTGTATTTAAGTAATTGACACGTGTGTCCTCCAAGTGTTCAAAGAGTGTCCGGATCTTTAAAAAATTTTTAAGAATAGGACAAGTTTTGAAGAGTGTCAGATACGTGACTTAACAGTGTCCAAAAGAGTGTCAGTGTCCGACACGGACACAACACAGATACGTCACCTTCTTAAAAGTGTCTGTGCTTCTTAGGAGAAGGCTACAACTGGAAATTAGTTTAAAATTGGCTTACAGCCAACATGCTCAATGACAAGTACGTGAAAAGTGGCTACACAGAGCCTCTCAATAACAAGCAAGTTGTTAGGTTTTATTTCTTGGCAATCCCGTTTGACAAAACTCCTTTCAGTTGTATTTATTTTCGCACATTTATTTCAGTGAGGCTATGAGTGTTTAGATGCGAATCCAATCCGAATTGAGCCTTTCAGAGAAGTTTGTGATGCAAATATTTTCAAGATTGCCACTTCGCTGATTATTACGAGGGTTGAGCTGCCCGGTCAGGTCGCGGCCCGAAGCAAAATGCAAAAATGCATTCAAAGTTGCCTGTCCGATCATGTTATATTTTTCCAGTTTTTCCAGTTTTGGCCTTCCCGCTCGAGCGGGGAAAGGGACGCTCGAGCGGGGATTGGAAGCTCTCAGCATCTCTGCAGTCGCCTGTAAAATACTGGAAGGTGTGATTTTGCGCTCGAGCGGATTCTCCTACGCTCGAGCGCATCTCAGTTTATTCTCACGCAGTTTTTGGTCAGTCCGCTCGAGCGGGCTGTGTTGAGCTCGAGCGGAGATCGCGGGACAGATTCTATAAATTCGCGTATTGGGTCAGATTTTGAGGGGGACTTCTCCAGATCTTCTTTTTGGTTTCTAGGGTTTATATCTGGGGATACTTTGGGAGTTTTCTTTGATGTTTTTATTGAGTATTCAACTCATGATCTAAAGAGAGTACATCAAAGGTTTGTTTGTTATACACAAAAGAGAGAGTTATTCTTCAGTTGTGGATTCTGAAGAATTCGAGCCTGAAGCTTTGGTGGAGCCAGCGAATCTTTTAAGGGTGTTTTGGAAACCCCTTTTGGATGAAACTTCGATGACAAAAGTTTCGATGATATCTTCAGTTTCATAAGCAAGTTTTCTAATTTCCGCAACCCAGTTGTTGACCCTCGCGTCTACATTATCTGATTGTATTGCATAATCTGCGTCTTGTAAGAAGCATTGCATTCGCTTCAACTCGACTCGGATTTGTTCAACTTGATCGCATACTCCGTATAAGAATTTTGCTTCTTCAGTCAACAAAACTCCAAGTGCGATGACAGTGAAAGACACAACAGGCGCTTCCATTATGATTATGTGGTATTTCAATTGAATTCAAACCCAGTCCCTCCCTCCCAAAAAAATCTGTGTATAAAGGGTAGGTGGGTGAGTAGCCTAGGCTAGGATGAAGATTGGAAATGAAGAGCTGTTGGGATGTGGTGTGAGTGAGTGGAGAGATTGGACTAAACTACTTGAGAAGGCTCATAAAATGATGGTTTAGTTGAGAGAGAGAGAGAGAGAGAGGTTTATATAAGTCACAGAGAGAAAGAAGCTCTGTGGAATCCACATCATATGCTATTGTGTGAGTGATTTTCTGATCACACTGCCCGACCAATTAGTCCTATATATTTTTAATTATTACCAAAAAATTTTTTTTTTTTTTTTTAAATTTACAGATACTGTTACATCCTACTATTGTCGGACTTCCATCAAACGGTCACCGGAGACTCATCGGAATGTTCAACATCACCGGAAAGTCACCAGAGTATCGCCGAGAAGTGGCCGGAGTATCGCCGGAAGTTCACCGGAGTGTTAAGAACGTTAATAGAAGTCGCAGGAATGTTCAGAACGTTCGCTGGACGTTAAGAACATCATTGGAGACTCACCGGAATATCTAGAATATTGTCGGGAAAAAAAAGAATAAATGGAGAAATTAGAGCAAAAAATCATAGCAAAATGTGCTAAATATTGATAAATTAAAAAGAAAAAAAATGGAACGTCAAAAAACAGCAATAATGGGAAAAACATATGCTATTTTTTAATTTTTGTAAGGTTTAAACAAATAATCTCCAATATTGATCAAACTGAAAAAGTAAGTTTTGAAACTGTAAAATGTTACAGTTGCAAAGCAAAAATCTATTAAGCATTTATCCTTATTAATCAAATTGAAAAATATGTTATGAAACTGTAAAATTTTACAGTTTTAAACCATGATTCATTCCAGCACCCAAAAAATTTGAAACTGCAAAATTTTACAATTTTCGCCACCTGTAACTAAAACTCGAAAACAACTTGTTCAGAACTTGAAAATTTTCTCCATTAGAGTAGAAAAAGGGAAGTGTATAGCAGATAAAATGTAGAAAAAAATAAGAGATCAAAGGAGAAAGGCGGATATAGAGAGAGGATTATACTCCGGCAACTATTTTTTTGTTTAGATTTAGCCAAATCTGATGTAGATCTACATTAGATCTAAGTGGATCTACTCATCTTATTCGTCGGAAGCATATCTTCTTTACCGTCGGTAAGGGTGAAGTAAGGAGTCGACAGTTGGTGGTTGCCGGTGAATCCCAATCAATGGTAGTCATCGGTTGCCGGTGACTATATATCGGAAAGAGAAAGAAAAGAAGCAAGATATGGTTACCCGTCAATGATCGCCGGAAATCACAAAGAGCAAAAGAGGCAGAGAAGAAGAGAGGCAGAGAAGAAGAATAACGTTATAGGACTTTTGGGTATAAACAAAAGGTTATGGGACTAAATAGACTACACGTTTTTCAAAAAAGACTTCTTAGTAATTTTCCCTTATTTTTTGAACCAAATTTGGACAGATCTACCGGCCTGGCCCGATGTTTGTCCACTTCTACTCTCTACTAAAGTCGTGTTTAGTTCAAAGATTCTGGAAGAAATTTTAAAAGGAAAAAGAAAAAAGTAGGTAAAATGTGAATAAAATATACATATATTTCACATAATTTTACATATCTTTTTTTCTTTTCTTTTTCAAATCACTCTCCAAATCCTTAAATCAAACACAACCTAAGGAGAGATTATTTGGTATTCTTAGTGTTTGTGGATGTAATATTAACCTACATAAGAAACAAAAATATATGAAAAAACATTTTATTTGTCCTGTCCCCGTCGTGTTCGTGTCTCTATCTCCATTTTTCTGAAATCATCGTATCATGTGTCCTGTGTCTGTGTCCGTGTTCGTACTCTTTAGGTAATCTATACTCCTCAACCACCTCATTAGCTACCAAAACAACATCTAAAATTTAACACCCCTCAACAAAGGCACCTTGAGAAGAGAAATGAAATCCCCTAAAACCAAATCTCAACGACATAGATGACACCTTTGCCAAACTTTTATACAAATAAGTAACTAAATAGATAGGTCAAAAGTCAACTATTCTTAAAGAAATCTCTTTATTTGTAATCAAACATACAAATGTAGCATTTGCGCAAGTATCAACTGTTAGCATATTATATTATTATCTGAGCTTTTTTGGTTTGCAATTTTTCTATGCTCTTAGGGCTCGACTTGTAATTGTCTCATCCTGTAAACCCTAAACTTCATTTATAAATACGGGATGATATTTTATCAAACCCTAAGCTGATTACTCAAGCTTCATGGTATCAGAGCAGAACCTCTAGGGTTTCGGCTCACCCTCGTTGGTAGACCTCTACACCAACGACAGTCTAGGGTTCGAAGCTTACCTGGGTGGATCATCTGCTGCGTTGATCTTCAGCTCGTCGATCTTTGCTTCGTCTTCATCACTCAGTCGCCGTCGTCATTCAGTCGCCTTCCTCTGTCGATCGTCACTCAGCCGTCTCTCAGTCGATCGTCACTCAGCCGCCTTCCTCAGTCGATCTCCTTCATCTTTGTTCGTTAGCTCGTCAGTCGATCTCGTCAGCCGCCTTCCTCAGTCGATCTCCTCAGCTCGTCTTCCTCACATCATCGATCTCCTTCATCTTCATTCGTCTGGTATACTCTCATCTCTGGTATACAACATACCTCATCTCTGTTTGGTATATATGTCGTGTATAGACATGTATAAATAAATAACCTATATGCCTGTATCCACACCAATACATATATAAATAAATAATTACTCAAAAAAAAAAAAAAGAAAAGGGAAGAAAACTTTATGGTTTCTTAATTTTGTTATGCCTTTATAGTGGTCATTGTGCCTATTCTTTCACCACCACCTTCCCGGTTTGTGATTGCCACTAGTTTTGTTGAGGGTTCAGTAATATCGTATCCATGGCAGATTTCACCAGTGTGTCCCCTACTTCTCAGACACCGAGGAGCGAGAGTCTCATTATACCTACTACCATGATTGAGAACCCCAACCCTAGTTTGAAAATCACCACCTCTCTATAATGGTCAGAACTACCTAGCATGGCCTCAAAGTTTGACTATATTTTTGAAAAGCCGAGGGAAGATGGGGTATGTTGATGGCAGGATACAGGCACCTAGTACCACTGACTCGGGTTATGACCAATAGGAGATTTCCAACTCTTTGATTATGGGTTGGCTTATTCGTTCGATGGTTCCTGAAATTGGTGAGGGCTACTTGTCCATGGAGACTGCCCAGGATGTTTGGGATGCTATGGCTGCCACCTATTCCTGCAAAGAGAATTTCTCACAGGCATTTGAGTTGCGCCGCTCTATCGAGAGATCACTTCAGGGGGAGCAGACTGTTCTTCAGTATTTCACTGCCTCACCAACAGCTGGAAATGCCTTGACCACCTGGAAGACTATAAGCCCGTTTTCCCTGTTGATTCTGTCGGGTACAAGAAGTTCATCGCACGAGAACGGGTTTTTAAATTTCTGGCAGGCCTAAATGTGGAGTATGATCCAGTTAGGGGTCGAGTTTTGGGTATGGACACTCTTCCTTCACTTCAGGAGGCATTTGCCTATGTACAGAATGAGGAGAGTCGCCGGTCCTTTTGCATGTAAAAGATACAGATCAGAGATCGATATATGTCGCATTTGTTTGTATACATTTATGGCTAGAGACAACTCTTTCCAAAAAAACAACAACAATTCTAGTCTAGCCCAGCTGCTGCCTGACTATAATTCTAGGTCCACATATGAAGAAATGCCCCGAAACCAACCTAGTTCAAAGTTGATCATAACCTGCCAGGAAAAATCACAATCATCTTACCTTCCGAAGAGATTCAGGCTGATTTTTCTTTTCAGACCCTTTGTCTAAACCTTCCCTTGAGATGACATTTCTGATACACTTTCATTCTTTTCATTGAGAGACTGCTGCTGAATCTTGTCATCATCGTCATTGTCATCCTTCAACTTTTTACTGTTCTTATGATGATGATAGAGAAGGCCTAAGAAGCACGGACACGGACACGCCGACACGTTAATTTTCAAAAAATGCAGAACACGACACGTGGGGAACATGCATGAAATACATGATTTTATATATTTACTATATGTTCTATATATGAATATATCATTCAAAGATAATAAAAAAAAACCCAATATGACACTAATTCCTATAAATTTATATGGTTTTTGTTTTATTATTATATCTTAAGTTGTTTTGCTCAAACTTAAAATTAGTTTCACATGTGTCTAATCAATAGATATGTGTATTTAAGTAATTGACACGTGTGTCCTCCAAGTGTTCAAAGAGTGTCCGGATCTTTAAAAAAATTTTAAAAATAGGACAAGTTTTGAAGAGTGTCAGATACGTGACTTAACAGTGTCCAAAAGAGTGTCAGTGTCCGACACGGACACAACACAGATACGTCACCTTCTTAAAAGTGTCCGTGCTTCTTAGGAGAAGGCTACAACTGGAAATTAGTTTAAAATTGGCTTACAGCCAACATGCTCAATGACAAGTATGTGAAAAGTGGCTACACAGAGCCTCTCAATAACAAGCAAGTGACAACTGCCTTACATGCAATCATTTAATGACAAACAAGTGACAAGTACAGCCACTTTAGAGACAAGTAGTTGAGAAGATGCTTACAAGCAATCACCTTGACATCAAGTGCTTCATGCACAATGACTTCAACAAGTGGTTTATGCACAGCCACTTTCTAAGTATATTACTACCTTAAGGTTAAAGAAACATACAAACTGAAAATATATATCTTAAATCAATTCAACTACACAAATCTTCACCAACTACTTGGGGTTGGCTAGATGAATCCTAGTTTGCATATTTGATTAAGATCCATAATTTTAGTTGAAAAACAAGCTATTAACTTGTGTCCCAGGATTGAAACCGGGCTCTGAAACCATGAAAACTAGGTTTAAACTAAACCATGGTATTATTGAATTAATTAATGAAAGATTACAAGAGAAAAATATATTAGAAAACTAAGTAAAACCCTAGAGGCTAACAATGATTGAACTACCCTTAACGATAAAACAAACGCATGCTTAACACTTACTATCTTAACTCATGTTTAGTTTGGTCTTCCTCGTCCCATAGCATTATCCGTAATGCAAACTGTGTCACTTTTCTTGAGTCCCGTATATCAACTAGGGCCACTTTTTCTCAATTTCACTTTGTGTATTTACTCTGTCAACCCTTTCATATTCTTAAGGTGATATTCCTTCCAAAAGAATGACTACCTTACCTCAATCAACGAAATTGTACTCTTTTAACCAGCAACAGTGTGTTCAAGCCTTGAAACATTCATGTGATCCAATGTACTCCAGTGACACATTTGGATTATCTATAAATGTGCATTTATAATTTGTTTATCACTATGCTAACCATTAATAATTATTTATTATTCAGAATTATTAATTTTCAAATGCGACAGATAGAAAGTAACTTTTTTCTATACATTATTAGAGGTAAAATTACAGGAATATATAAAACAGAGATAATTGTTGAATGTGCATAATGCATACATATATATTACAAAACAAGAAAGCAAGTGACTGAGATTAAGAAATAACATATGCACATTGCATGTTTCTCAACTTACCCAAAACGGACAAACCAACAAAAAGATCTTTTAAGGAAGTGCATGTTTAAGAGGATGTGAATGCTCATGTCCAAAATGAACATGAGAATGAGCATGGTCCATATCATGATCGTGTGGATGGGAGTGTTCACCACCTGGAAATATAACATAATCATAGAAAAACATATTATGACCACCAACAATTAAAAAATGCTACAAAACCGTAGGTGAAAATCTGAAAAGAGAAAAATATAGTATCATCTGCAAACTGTAGGTAAAAAACTGAAATCCTACCCCAACCTATCACAAAACCCTCCATTAAACCCACCTCCTAAGACCAATCAACCAACCTCCCCAAAACATCAACTCTCTACAGTAAATAAAAATAGAGATAAAGAAGAATTATGCCTCAGACCCCTAGTAGTCTTAAAAAGTATCACATGCTCTACTATTTAATATTACTACAAAATTACTAGTGGACAAACAACCCTTGATCCACTTCCTCCATCTCTCATCAAATCATTTCTTTTGCATGACAAAATCCAAAAAAAAAATTAAAAAAAAAAAATATCCACAGGATCATATACTTTGTCAAAATCAGTCTTAAAGGTAACCCTCTTCTTGTTTATAATCTGCTATGAAGCATCGACAGTTCAAAATAAGTACCATACCCATGTCGGACATGTCGACACAACAAGGACACACCATTTAATTAATTTTTTTCAGGGGACACACCAAATAATTTTTTGGGGAACTTACCAATAAGTCTCATATATAAAGTTCAAGACCCATCTAATCCTCAAACAAAACACTTGCACCAATTAGTCCTATATATTTTTAATTATTACCAAAAAATTCCTTTTTTTTTTTTTTAAATTTACAGATACTGTTACATCCTACTATTGTCGGACTTCCATCAAACGGTCACCGGAGACTCATCGGAATGTTCAACATCACCGGAAAGTCACCAGAGTATCGCCGAGAAGTGGCCGGAGTATCGCCGGAAGTTCACCGGAGTGTTAAGAACGTTAATGGAAGTCACCGGAATGTTCAGAATGTTCACTGGACGTTAAGAACATCATTGGAGACTCACTGGAATGTCTAGAATATTGCCGGAAAAAAAAATAAAATAAAATAAATGGAGAAATTAGAGTGAAAAAAATGAAAAAATGTGCTAAATATTGATAAACTAAAAGAAAAAAAATAGAACGACAAAAAATAGTAATGGGGAAAAAAATATGCCATTTTTCAATTTTTGTAAAGTATAAGCAAATAATCTCCAATATTGATCAACCTGAAAAGTAAGTTTTGAAAATACAACATGCCTCATCTCTGTTTGGTATATATGTCGTGTATAGACATGTATAAATAAATAACCTATATGCCTGTATCCACACCAATACATATATAAATAAATATATAATTACTCAAAAAAAAAAAAAGAAAAGGGAAGAAAACTTTATGGTTTCTTAATTTTGTTATGCCTTTATAGTGGTCATTGTGCCTATTCTTTCACCACCACCTTCCGGGTTTGTGATTGCCACTAGTTTTGTTGAGGGTTCAGTAATATCGTATCCGTGGCAGATTTCACCAGTGTGTCCCCTACTTCTCAGACACCGAGGAGCGAGAGTCTCATTATACCTACTACCATGATTGAGAACCCCAACCCTAGTTTGAAAATCACCACCTCTCTATTTAATGGTCAGAACTACCTAGCATGGCCTCAAAGTTTGACTATATTTTTGAAGAGCCGAGGGAAGATGGGGTATGTTGATGGCAGGATACAGGCACCTAGTACCACAGACTCAGGTTATGACCAATGGGAGATTTCCAACTCTTTGATTATGGGTTGGCTTATTCATTCGATGGTTCCTGAAATTGGTGAGGGCTACTTGTCCATGGAGACTGCCCAGGATGTTTGGGATGCTATGGCTGCCACCTATTCCCGCAAAGAGAATTTCTCACAGGCATTTGAGTTGCGCCGCTCTATTGAGAGCACACTTCAGGGAGAGCAAACTGTTCTTCAGTACTTCACTTTCCTCACCAACGGCTGGAAACGCCTTGATCACCTGGAAGATTATAAGCCCGTTTGCCCTACTGATTCTGTCGGGTACAAGAAGTTCATCGCACGGGAACGGGTCTTTAAATTTTTGGCCGGCCTAAATGTGGAGTATGATCCAGTTAGGGGTCGAGTTCTGAGTATGGATACTCTTCCTTCACTTCAGGAGGCATTTGCCAGAACTTGAAAATTTTCTCCATTAGAGTAGAAAAAGGGAAGTGTATAGCAGATAAAATGTAGAAAAAAATAAGAGATCAAAGGAGAAAGGAGGATATAGAGAGAGGATTATACTCCGACAACTATTTTTTGTTTAGATTTAGCCAAATCTGATGTAGATCTACATTAGATCTAAGTAGATCTACTCATCTTATTCGTCGGAAGCATATCTTCTTTACCGTCGGTAAGGGTGAAGTAAGGAGTCGGCAGTTGGTGGTTGCCGGTGAATCCCAATCAATGGTAGTCGTCAGTTGCCGGTGACTATATATCGGAAAGAGAAAGAAAAGAAGCAAGATATGGTTACCCGTCAATGATCGCCGGAAATCACAAAGAGCAAAAGAGGCAGAGAAGAAGAGAGGCAGAGAAGAAGAATAACGTTATAGGACTTTTGGGTATAAACAAAAGGTTATGGGACTAAATAGACTACACGTTTTTCAAAAAAGACTTCTTGGTAATTTTCCCTAGTTTTTTCCCCCCTCTTTGTTTAGTGCATTTAATAGATGTTGGATGTTGAATGTTTATTCATTTTTTCTTAGATTTAAATACTTAATAAATCATCTATAAAAAAAATATAAAAAATAAGTGTTAATATAAAGTGAATTTTTTTTAATTTTTTTTTAATATCAAATTAGTTTTAGTTTTGTTAGTTTTGATTGTTTGTGGATGTAATATTAACCTACATAAGAAACAAAAATATATGAAAAAACATTTTATTTGTCCTGTCCCCGTCGTGTTCGTGTCTCTGTCTCCATTTTTCTGAAAATAAGTGTTAATATAAAGTGAATTTTTTTAATTTTTTTTTTAATATCAAATTAGTTTTAGTTTTGTTAGTTTTGATTGTTTGTGGATGTAATATTAACCTACATAAGAAACAAAAATATATGAAAAAACATTTTATTTGTCCTGTCCCCGTCGTGTTCGTGTCTCTGTCTCCATTTTTCTGAAATCATCGTATCATGTGTCCCGTGTCTGTGTCCGTGTTCGTACTCTTTAGGTAATCTATACTCCTCAACCATCTCATTAGCTACCAAAACAACATCTAAAATTTAACACCCCTCAACAAAGGCACCTTGAGAAGAGAAATGAAATCCCCTAAAACCAAATCTCAACGACATAGATGACACTTTTGCCAAACTTTTATACAAATAAGTAACTAAATAGATAGGTCAAAAGTCAACTATTCTTAAAGAAATCTCTTTATTTGTAATCAAACATACAAATGTAGCATTTGCGCAAGTATCAACTGTTAGCATATTATATTATTATCTGAGCTTTTTTGGTTTGCAATTTTTCTATGCCCTTAGGGCTCGACTTGTAATTGTCTCATCCTGTAAACCCTAAACTTCATTTATAAATACGGGATGATATTTTATCAAACCCTAAGCTGATTACTCAAGCTTCATGGTATCAGAGCAGAACCTCTAGGGTTTCGACTCACCCTCGTTGGTAGACCTCTACACCAACGACAGTCTAGGGTTCGAAGCTTACCTGGGTGGATCATCTGATGCGTTGATCTTCAGCTCGTCGATCTTTGCTTCGTCTTCATCACTCAGTCGCCGTCGTCATTCAGTCGCCTTCCTCTGTCGATCGTCACTCAGCCGTCTCTCAGTCGATCGTCACTCAGCCGCCTTCCTCAGTCGATCTCCTTCATCTTTGTTCGTTAGCTCGTCAGTCGATCTCGTCAGCCGCCTTCCTCAGTCGATCTCCTCAGCTCGTCTTCCTCACATCATCGATCTCCTTCATCTTCGTTCGTCTGGTATACAACATACCTCATCTCTGTTTGGTATATATGTCGTGTATAGACATGTATAAATAAATAACCTATATGCCTGTATCCACACCAATACATATATAAATAAATAATTACTCAAAAAAAAAAAAAAGAAAAGGGAAGAAAACTTTATGGTTTCTTAATTTTGTTATGCCTTTATAGTGGTCATTGTGCCTATTCTTTCACCACCACCTTCCGGGTTTGTGATTGCCACTAGTTTTGTTGAGGGTTCAGTAATATCGTATCCATGGCAGATTTCACCAGTGTGTCCCCTACTTCTCAGACACCGAGGAGCGAGAGTCTCATTATACCTACTACCATGATTGAGAACCCCAACCCTAGTTTGAAAATCACCACCTCTCTATTTAATGGTCAGAACTACCTAGCATGGCCTCAAAGTTTGACTATATTTTTGAAGAGCCGAGGGAAGATGGGGTATGTTGATGGCAGGATACAGGCACCTAGTACCACTGACTCGGGTTATGACCAATGGGAGATTTCCAACTCTTTGATTATGGGTTGGCTTATTCATTCTATGGTTCCTGAAATTGGTGAGGGCTACTTGTCCATGGAGACTGCTCAGGATGTTTGGGATGCTATGGCTGCCACCTATTCCCGCAAAGAGAATTTCTCACAGGCATTTGAGTTGCGCCGCTCTATTGAGAGATCACTTCAGGGGGAGCAGACTGTTCTTCAGTATTTCACTGCCTCACCAACAGCTGGAAATGCCTTGACCACCTGGAAGACTATAAGCCCGTTTTCCCTGTTGATTCTATTGGGTACAAGAAGTTCATCGCACGAGAACGGGTCTTTAAATTTCTGGCAGGCCTAAATGTGGAGTATGATCCAGTTAGGGGTCGAGTTTTGGGTATGGACACTCTTCCTTCACTTCAGGAGGCATTTGCCTATGTACAGAATGAGGAGAGTCGCCGGTCTGCTATGATGTCCCCTGTCTCTACTGACCGCTCAGCATTACTGTCTACTCCTCGAGATGACCTCAGCCTGACTCCCATCCCTCCGTCTGCTGCTAAGGAGTCTATATTCTGTGATTATTGCAAGAAGTCGTGGCATACTCGTGAGACGTGTTGGAAGCTTCATGGGACTCTATCCGGGGGTCGAGGTGATCGGT